TGTGTGTGTGTGTGTGTGTGTGTGTGTGTGTGTGTGTGTGGATGCATTCCCAGTTGATGCGACCCGTTCTTTGCCGTGTTACCGGACCATCTATTGCGCTTGTTTGTTGTTGTATGTGTGTTTGCTCATCAGGGAAAACTTGCACACGCGCGTGTACTTGTGTGTGTATGTGTGGTGAAAGCTATGCGCAACGAAGATCAGTGAGAAACTGGGAGTAAGAGTGAGTGAGTGAGTATAGATGATTGAACAAGCAAGCCATTGAATGAGTGAGTGAGTGTAAATCAAAGCCGTTCGAGGAAGGCCATTGTGGACCGGAAACTGAGCGCATGATACTTGCCATAAATACAAACTCATACTGAGGCTCTCAAACACACACACACACACACCTTCGGTGCGTGAGGAAGAGCTGTTGTGACTTTCACTTTTCCCCACCTGAAACCTCATCACTAAACCTACAATGTAATCATGCATTTCCTCATTCATCAACCCACCACCTGCCTCGAGTACCCAACAGCAAACACAATGCCGGTACGTGCTCATGCATCCGACCCGCGGTCGGTTCTCTCTGTGTCGTGAATGTGCGTGTGTGTGCGTGATACTGAAAGCAAGTCTCTGATTGGGTAGCATGCTACGTGTTAGTACTCATCGCGGAGCTCACTTACGCGTTTAGGTCTGTCCGTCTATCTCGCGCGCGTGTCTATGATCCAGCTGCGAGTGCAGCTGCGTAGGCCGGTCGACCCGGTCCGGTGTGTGTGTGCGTTTGTGGAATCACGTGCGCCATCCAGTCTGCTCATTTTGTTACCGTGACCCGGTCACACCCTGTACAATCTTTTATGTATCGTCATACTCGTCATCCCTGATCGTAAGCGGACTAATCTCTCCCTGGTTCGCCCCCGACTACCCGCTCGTTCATTTAACTGCGATCCGGTTCACAGCTCCGTTCTGTCGCGTCGATCTGTGTTTGTATTACAAGCTGTCCGGTTCACCTCGTCCAGACTACCTAGGTCTGCACCGTGCCCTAGGGTGAATTGGGTATCTAGGATGCTCGGAGGCGATTGCAGCTCTTATTATTATGCGTCGTCCGTTATCCCACCGGATCGATCGACCAGGCTCTCTGTGCACCGACCCAATCCAACCGGTTCACACCCGTATCGCGACAATCGGCACCTAAGTCACCTAATACACGTATTTACGTGGTAGTTGCTTAGTTGTTTCAATGTGTGTGGCAATGTGATTTGGTCATTCATGGCCATTGGCTTGCCGAACTGGTGGCACTCATTTGTTCTGCTGGCTTTTCTAATCAGCTGTTCCGTACGGGTCCAGGATTCCGTCGCAATTATCGCCGAACGTGATCACATTGAACAATTGTTTCCCTTTGGGCCACTACTACCACCACCTCCGCCACCACCAACAGCTCCACCATCACTACTTCCAGCGCTGCAGTCACCACTGCAGCTTCCTTCGCCTGCTCTACCGCCGCCTGAACCGTACTCGAGTTTCTTTAACCAAACTCCACCGGTGCCGGACTATTACGTGTTACCTTCGAATCACGACCGATCCGCTTATATGCCGCACATCTACCCGCAACTTTCGTATCTCACTGACCCAGTTCACACACCTGTCGGATATGATCCGTCGTATTCAATTTCGCGGGACACTGTGGACGTATTTTCGGGCTCGTCTATCCCAACCATTAGCCAGTCATCAGACACATCAGACACAATAATGGATTATGATGGTGTGCAATGGGAACAGTTTCAACCGATCTCTCCCATTACCAGCATTATCCAGCATGTGCTTGCCAATTATCGAAGCCATGAGAGTCCGGACGAGAACAATCCAGACCCGACAACTGTCACTGTTTCTGTGCACATTCTGGCAGTCGCGTCGATCAATGTGGTTCAAATGGAATACACGGTGGATTTGTACTTGCGACAGCAATGGGTCGATTCCCGTCTAGCCTGGGCACATGTTCCACACTTGGCACATTTTAAGGACTATGTTCTTCTGACCGCGCACAAAAGTAGACTTTGGTTGCCGGATCTGTTCTTCCGAAACGGCAAGCGCGGATACAAACACAAGATGTCGGTGCCGAACGATCTGATTCGGGTTCATCCGAATGGGAGTGTTTTGTACAGTCAGAAAATTACAATGATTTTGTCGTGTTCCATGTATTTACGTCTATACCCGATGGATCATCAAGAATGTCAGATGAATATTGGATCGTACGGATACACGGTGGATGAGTTGAAATTCGTGTGGCGTGATGAAGACCCGGTTACTGTTGCAGAGAATTTACAGTTGTTGGAATTTGATAGTCCACGAAGTGCTTCTACTCGTGTAAGTCTTTCCGGTATATTTTATGCTGTGGAGTTTTCTTGGGTCATATACTTATGGAAGGATAGTTAACATTCACTTTTGTTCCTCGAGAAGCCCGTCTTTTTCCACACAGCTGGACACCACATTTACTGATTAAAGTGACCTCTGAATTACTTATAGAGAATTCCCTGCAGAGTACGTGAGAAGTTAGACTAGAGAGGCTTGATGCTGAGAAACTATACGCATCGACGACGCTGATATACTCGCAGTCTCCATAATAAGATCCTTTTGAAATGTTGTATGTTGCGTTAGAATATTAAAATGGGTCACATGTTTAAAGCTGTACACGAATGCATTGATTCATTCACATCGATTTCTGGACTTCGTTCAGCTACTTTTTGTGGCTCTCTCTATTTTACCCTGTTGGGCTTCAAACGAACCAACAAGTAGCATGGGACAAAAATAATGACAACTGACATCGTCTACTATTTACGAATATCAACAAATGCTGATAGGACATCATGTCACAAACGTTGGGTGCGGAGAACAGAATCGAATCTCACATTTGTCGTCACTTATTCACATTTAATTACTTAGCTAAACGACACCTACTTGTCCAGATAATTTTGTGTCTGTGTGACGAGCAATGGGAATACCTCATTAAAATATTAGATATAATTTGATTGCATTGTTTTGTGTGAGTGATTCTTGAATTGCACGTGGAATGCTAAACCATCTTTGACCCTATTCCTTTTGGTAGGTCCAATTTTACAAATTTCTATTAACATATTTTTCACAAGCGTTTTTCGTTCAAACATGCCACCCACGAATTGATTCATGATTTGACTCAACTTTCACAGCATTATCGCATTACTTTGAACAAAACTCTGAGTCCTACGGGCACACAGTGTGACAAAAGAGATTTCGCCTTAATCAATCAACATATATCCAAAATCCCCATTAGTGGCTGGAATTGGACGCGCATAATATTGGGATGTAATTGTGAATGAATCGAAGATCATCGAAAAGATTGCCTTTATTAATCAGATAAGAAAATTAATTTTGATTTCCCTAATTCTCTGACCGTAATTTTTTTCACTCAGACCACCTAAACTTGCCCCAACTTCTGGAAGTAAAATAACGATAAAAAATTACCGATGCCGGATTACGCGATCTGACGTTGTATAAAAAAACATTGTGAGCTGGAACATCTGGTTAGACGATCTGCCAATGTTTGATACACAAATTTCACTGATGCGTGTAGGCTTGCATGCAAAGTACCCGGGACGGTGCTTGTGTTTTGCTCAGATCGATCAAGTTTGTTTCAGTGATAAATTTGAGGGATAAGCGATTGGCTCCAGGGGTCGAGAACTGCAAAAATACGAAAATTGAAAGGAAATATCAAGAAATAAGAAATTTAGGTGCTGAATGTTTTGATTAGCCCATTCGGTTTGTTTTGACAGGCACCAAGCACTCTTGATGATGTTCAATATGGGTTCCACTCCTTGGGAGATCGTTAATTTCCCATTATTTGAATGCGTTGAAATACAATGGAAATGTTTGCGATAACCGACGAAGACCACTGGTCAGCTGTTTCATACTGTCAGTGGTGCCTAAGGTGATCAACATTGCATGGTACCTGTGGAAAACCGATCGTGCTAATCCATACATTGAATATCTAAATTGATTGAGCCACTTGCACCGTTTGTCGATCATGTAGCTCAGAGGGGTAAGGGTTTGGAGTCCCGATCCGGATGTTCGCGGTTCGAGTCCCAAGGGGGACAGAAATAGCACGCACTTCTGATGGGTCCCAAACAGGATGAAACAATTGTCCAGACAAGACATTGTTCATAGGAATTCAAAGGAAAGACATTTTTCACATAATTTGCCTCGGTGTTTTGTATTCAATAGATAACTGAAGCAGTAGCAACAGTATTGGAAAGATTTCTTCCCTTTGGTGGGACTTATTATTATCAGTGGTGTGTATGTGTAGAATGTCTTTGTATCCCTGTTGAGAATCGGAAGCCAAACCTTCCCGTTGAAAACTAAAACACTTTTATCCAACTCGTTAGAATAGAGGGACGATAAATACTGCGAGACGTTATCGTTTCTTTTAACTGATTTTATTTAATTACCCTTGGGACTTCACCTTCACGCACCATCCTCAGTTCATCGATTGAACCATACACTCGGAAGCACTAGACTCGTGTTTCGCTATTATTGGAGCTCATCAGTAGTGCATATCCACCGTCCCGCCCGGGATTTGAACTCCGGACCCATCGCATGCGTGTGCATTACCACTGTGCTAATCAGCTCATACTGTGGCTGAACCAAATTGCCAATTCATGTTTGTTCAGGTATTGTCTTCAGTGATAGTTCATTTGGCCAGAAAGCATCGCAGGAAGACAAAGATTAAAATCTGTTAACTCCAACAGAAAACCTCCCATCAAATCAGGACTTCTATGCAGGCACGGGCCGATTCACCAATGAACCTAAAAGGCTGGATTATACCACACCACTACTCACAAGTAACTGTGAGTCAAATGCGAAGTTTCTTTCAATCTCCTCAGTGACTACAACGCAAAACATTCTGGTATTTATCTAAGCCAGGTTTGATAACCACGGTGAATCAACGGGCAATAGTCAGAAAACCATGGGGGAGAGTGGAATCAGTTCCACGGCAGTTTGACTGATTGCGTAAGAAAATTTTGTTACGTAACTTGATTGACCTCTCCTTCCTAAGCGCCAAGAGCCGGGGATTTATGTTACGTAATACGGAAAAATGTGGGTCAATAATGTGTCCGGTTGCCCTGAGGCGTTTTGCGATTGATGGCCCTGGATTTCTCTTATCAGAGTGACCTATAAGACTGTGATGCGTCATGGATTGTAACAACTACTTGGGGTGTGTTCAGACAACCGTTGTGATAGGGGCCGATTCGCCCTGCCGATGCGTCACCGTAACTGCAGGTAGACTGGTAGACGACCTGTGAAGCAGAATTCTACGGCTGGTTCTGTTTTCGTTTGTCCAAACGAAATCCTTGGGTATACGGTATCAATCGAAGCTGTGCAGCAGGAAAGGTTCAACATAATGCCATCTTGAGCTTTTGACCAAAGCCGTTTATTGTTTGATCATCCTTAAAGACGATTCCTCGGTACCTCGCAAACGGGATCAGCCGGTGAGCTTTTTCTGATAAGCACATCAATAAATTTCTCTGGATTACCATTCATTATCCAGTAGTATCCTTCACAAAAATGCCTTTTCTTTTTTAAAAGAAGATATTCCGGGTACGATGGAGTAAAGTCTTCATGGAACCTCTTTTGTATCCCACAAGAGCAAAACTATCAAATTACAAATATTGTCCACTCCATATGGTCTTCCGGCAGACGGATCTCTGCAAGGTGCCATCTGATAGCCTCTGATTTTCATAACTAAAACCCTCAAAAAACCATCCTTTTCCTCCTCAACGGCAATACAGAGATTGAGATTAACAGTACTAAATAGTATAAAAATGATGTTAAAATGATAAGAGTCGGTAAAAATGCACATGACATTGACAGGATCTTAGTAAAAAGTATCCACTGAGATATTATCCTTCAATCGCCTTTCAACCATTCCTAGAGGTATATCAGCCCAGGACGGGCCCAAAGGAACAACCCATTGCGCGAGCATCAATTTGCTTGTGCGCTGCTCCTTCAACTTCAAGACATATTTTTTCAGTGCAAACCATGTTAAGATCTTTTAAATGACAAATGCGAATAGGAAGAAATTATCTAATAAATCGGCGAATTCAAGAGTCTTAAATAGAAGGCGGTTTCGTAGCCTAACGGATAGGGTCTAATATGTTGACCAACCAGCGGACCACCTTGTGCATTCTGCATGCGTAAGATTTGTCGATCACCGAGTTTGTGAACCTTGGGTGAACCTCTCATTTGGGGTCTTTGTTCCCATTGGTTTCAGATCTTTCTTACTGAGCTTCTGAAATGTGATTATGAAATGGCAGAGACTGAAGATTTCGGGGATCACTTTTCAGCGAGATTGTGGTTGTCAGGAATATTGTCCACATTTAATTTGCTCTCATCCGAAAACATTTGGTTATTTTTTCCTTTGTAGTCATAATGAACAATCCAGAGTCCGAAAAAGGCTTGGCAAATTTTAATTCGGACATCATCCGCAATTCTTGTGTGGTTTTGTAGTGTTCTGCTTTGAGATCGTGAGCCACACACACACCATCAACAGCTGATACCTACCGCGCGTTGTCCCTCCACAAAGCTCTATTGTCCCTTGTAAGAAGTGCATATTAGTCGACCTGTGTGTGGACAGGTTAAATATAAACATAGCGAACGGCAAAGTGTTCACAGTTTCGAACAAATTAATAATCATCAATAGATTTGATAAAATAGAACCGAAGAAATAAAGTTCCCACATGGGTTTTATACTTTGTGTTGAAAAATCCTTTTTGTGGTAATTAAAGCGTAGAGTTTTCCGCAAAGTAAGAAATTCCACGGGTTTTCCGTCACATCATCACTTTGTAAAGTAAAACAAAATATGGTATGAAATCCAAGAAGCATTTAGTGCCATCGTCCTGTGAATTGGATAGATTATTCATATCTTCCTCTTAGTCGGTTGTCTCATCAGA